AACCTTTGTCAGTGTCAGCCATGTGGATGAGTCACTGCCATTGCTTGGCCAATGTGCTCTCTGTGAAAGCCTGAGAGAATGATCATTTATTATCCTTTTAAAGAAAAAATAAATAAATAAAAAACTTGAGAGACAGTATGGCAATAATTGGTATGTCATGACAAGAAGTATATATTTAGGGCTGGTGAGATGGCTCAGTGGTCTAAAGCACCTACTTTCAAGCTTAGCAAAGCCCAGGGACCGCAGTTCAATCCCCCAGCACCACATGCCAGCCAGTCCGCCCCGTGGTGGGCTGAGCTGGCCACACACACACACACACACACGCACACGCACACACACACACACACACAAATAAATAAAATTAAAAAAAAAAGAAGTATATATTTAGAAGACCGGAATGACAGGCACTCCAAGCGTGACCCCTCTATTACACATCGTCCTCCTCAGTGCAGCCGCCTGGCTCACGGGCACCAGCATATAGAATTAGTCAGGGTGAGAATCCCACCAGCCAACCACTAGTCTCAAAAATCTGCTGATGTCCCCCAGGATCACTGCCCCACCTTTCTCGTGCGTACAGATGTATGGCTTTGTCCCTGTCATGTTTCCCAGCTTTTCTCCTTGCCCACTCATTGTCCAGTCCTCAAGTTCTTGCTTTCCTTTTATTTGTGTTGTACCTTTCTATATGTAATTCCTCTTTTGAGTTCTTTTTTTTTTTTTTTTGCGGAACTAGGGATTGAACTCAGGCCGTTATGCTTGCCAGGGAAGCACTTATTCCACTGAGCCATCTCCCTGGCCCCACTTTTTTGAGTTCTTATACTAGGGAGACAATATGATATTTATACATGTGGGTCTGTTTTTTTTTACTTTTAAGTATATCTTCAAGTGGCATCCACTTAAATATGAAGGCTTCGAGTTTATCATTCTTTATATATTCCACTGTATAAAAATACCACATCTTTTTCAGCCATTCCACGTGTGACGGGCATCTTGGTTGTTTCCAAGATTTGGCTATCGCAAATTGTGCTGCTATAAACATAGGTACGCATATATCACTGTGATGGGACGCTTTCAGTTCCTCTGAGAAAATTCCCAGTAGGGGTATATAGCAGGCTTGAATGGGATTTCCAGTCCTAGTTTTCTAAGGAGGGCTGGGGAGATAGCTCAGTAGAATACGCACTTGCCTGGCAATTGCAAGGTCCTGAGTTCAATCCCCAGTACTTAAAAAAAAAAAAAAATCTGATTCTTAATTTTGATTAGTACATGTTGGCAGTACATAATGATTACATGGATTGTGAGAACTGGTACATGTGCATAATACATCTCAATTCCTAGTTTTCTAAGGAGTCTCCACACTCATTTCCATAATGGTTGCACCAGTCTACACTCCCACCAGCAGTGGAGAAGGGTTCCCCACAGCTGCTCCAGCATTTGTTGTTGGGTGATTTCTTTATGATAGCCATTCTTTCTGGGGTGAGATGGTATCTTAGTGTTGTTTTAATTTGCATTTCACGGATAGTTAATGATGTGGAGCATTTTTTCATATATTTATTCACTTTAATTTCATCGTCTAGGGGCCAGGGAGATAGCTCAGTGGAATAAGCACTTGCCTGGCAAGTGAAAGGACC